TGTTAGTAATGATTGTTAAATGAATATTGTTCTCTTTAACGTGCCTGCCTGACTGCCACTGAGAAAAAACAGGGAAGTGACTTCCAATTGACAAGTTTTGTTTTTGTTCAAGCCTCAACAACACTGCAGCATACCAAACGAAAGGACATTGACTGATTACCCTTCTTGATTGATTTTTATTTTATTTTTCACCGTTGGTAGACAAATCAATGTCTAATACTGGCCTTAGTCTCTCCACTTTTCAAACTCCTCAACTTATATCCTTCTATTTTCAAGGTTTAGCATATGATTGATTAAACTTTCAATTAGTTTCTGTTAAATTTGGTTTTTAAATTATACCTCTCATTGTTAAAATAGTAAAAATTTAAATTTAACGAATAATCAAACCAAATATTAAATTCCTGGTACTAGAAGCAGAGGGATTAAATTTCAAAAGACCGAAGAATACAGGGACAATAGGAAGAATTAAACCGAAAATAGGAAGAGGTAAACGGTTCTCAAAGATCCCGAAATTCTGGGTTTTCTGATCCGAAGATCATTTCATCTGGGGCTAAGATCTTCAACAACAGTACCCCCGAACTTAAAACCAATTAAAAACATGTAATGGAATCCGATTTTAACCTAAGATACAGATTTACATATCCAAATTCATGTAATTTCCAGCAGAGATCAGCGCACAAAGTTTCAGATTTGGACTGAACTGAAACTGGAATTTGACACGATTATGAATTGCCAGTCTGCTTTTTTTATTCCAAACAAATTTCTCAAGGAATTCCTGACGTTAAATTATCACGCTCTGTACGCTGCCCAAAACCAACACGACAAAAGACGAAGGCGAAAAATGTAAATATAATCGACTCAAAAATGCAAAGGCTTTCTGGCAAGAGCCAGCTGATCATGAACTTTTATTTTCCTCGAAGCAGGGCCAGGGGAATAAAGATGCAGCAGACAAGATATTGGAAAAGACCAGTCAACAAATTTGTTGAAAAACGGGGATCGATAGGGTACCTTACCTATTAATAGAGTTTACTGCAAAGGATCCCAAAACCTACTGTTTGTTCAACGTTATGATTCGGGTTTTTTACAAATACAGGAAGAAAAGGAAAAGGGAACTGGTGGAAGGAAAGTGTCCGTATCGTAAGCCTCAAGAATTAAAATATAAAATGTTTGGGTTTCGAAAAGAATCTGTTTGGTTCCCGGGAAGAAAGGGTATACGCAGAGATTCAAAGTAAAAAAAGAAGACGAAGAAATGGAAGACGGGAGACCAGTTTACGTAAAGGGCGTGCATCCAAAATAGTCCAAGGAAGACTAGATCTAAGCCTTGATTCCTATCCCACTTATGAGGCATTCATTTCACCCCCTTTTTCCTTTATTTATTTTTAATATTAATATATACAAAATAAAATATATAAATTAAATTTTAATTTCTAAAATAGTGTAAAAACACCATTTTTGTTTAATTCTGTGCTCTTCGTAATCCATTTTAACTCTTTATAAAAACATGACAGGTATTATGCATGGCAATGATAGACAAAGAAATTAGTGAGAAAACTATGCTAAAAAAGGAAAATAGTGAAAAAAATATGTCACACATAGGAAAATTTGTAGTTTCCTTTAAACATGTTTATAGAATCGCATATATTTTTAGAATAATATTAAAGGACGTGGATGATTTTTTATTTATATATTTAAATTAAAAATATTTTTAATAAATAAAATTAAATCATATAATTAAATTTTATAAAAATATTAACTTATGTACAAAAACCCATAAGACTTATAATTAAAATATTTTTTTATTATTTGATTTATATTTATTTATTGATTAAATTTTAATAAATTAATTTCTTTCATTTATATCACGAGTTTAATTAAATCTAAATTATTTTAAGCAAATATATTATTAAAGGGTAACCAAATTAACAAATAAAATTTTATATATATATATATATATATATATATATATTAAATTCCACAATTTAAAATAAAATACTTACATGATTCAAAGCAATACAAACGAAATAACATAAGCATAATAAAAACATGAGGAATTTTTGTAAGAAAAAAACATGCGTATTATTTCATATACGATAACAAAAATAAATTTTATAAAAAAAGTACATTTAAAGTAGGTTTAATGAAAAAATTATTACATAGACCCGGCTCACTACGTCATCCGTGGTCTCAACTAATGAAATTTTTTCATCTCGTTATTTTTTTAAGGTGAATGTCCACCTCTTTCATACGTGTAAATAAAGAGTAAGCAATTATCTGAATAATCATTTTAAAATTGATAGATATAATTCACTGAAACTATAGATGACACGACGAGCCAATACCCTAAAATAATTTCTCGTTGTAATGAGTTTAGGACACCAGGAATAAGGGGGTCTATATAGGTTAGACATAAGATTGGAGGAGTCGAATGGGGACTACAGTGTCCCTCATTCGTCATAAATCCGACAACTTATATGTCATAGGACGGGCTTATTAAGTGGTTTACTTTTCCCTTGTTATTTACAAACAAACACTTTTTTTTTTGTTTGTAAACGTTGGTCCATTGTGTTCTCCTCCTCCTCCTCCTTCTCATTTGTTCCACCTTTTCCTTTTTCTCATCATTCGTTGATTCGATTCACTTGAATTCTGGTTGTTGCTTTTAAAAGAAACATCCTTTCAACCACAGCATCACTTGACCAAGTTTCAATAAAGGGTGGGAAGAAATCCCAATCCCCCAAGAGACATTCCAGTTGTACTCTCGTTGCTTTTGAGGAATCTTAACATTATGCGCTACTGTTCCAAAGACATCGGTAATTTAAATGTTTCGGTAATCTATATAATAATCTACACCACCTTTCCATATCTAAGACTCGATCTGTCGACTTCCCTTTCTATTAAAATTTCATTTTTTTTTATATTTACAATATTAATAAAATATTAACAGATTTGCATGAACGGTAATTGGCAAGCAGAGGTGAAATCTATATATACATAGTGACAGAGCTACACTTGTACAAGAAAATATCATCTATAGTTTGGGAATAGGGATTAGATACGATTAAGTGGAGCCCACGAAATCCAAAGAGCCACATAACGTCATGATTAAGTGAGCATGTAAACATAAATGCGTATTAAATCATTAATCTGTGGGTTTGGGAATAGAGATTAGACATGATTAAGCAAATCCCAGAGTTTCCCATTAAAATACATTATAAACGGATCCCCTCTTTAATCACCACTCCGGTTTATTTGAGCCTATATGATTTTATTTCGAGTCGCTTCTTGTCCCCTGCGCGTGTGTTCCACGCTCAGATTGAAAACATCAGCACAGCCACCCCGCCGAATCGTGGATCGCGTGGCGTTAAAAAATGATTAGAAATGACGACAACCCAGAAAAGGCAAAAATAAAAAAATGAAACTGTCTTGGGCTGATCGCGGTTTTTTTTTTTTTTTGGGTTTTCCTCGGCTTGCAAAGTGGCGATATGAGAGAGTGTCTTTTGGAAAGCGGTGGTCGTCCAGTTTGTCGCAAGACCCTCGCCGATCTCTAGACGATCAGATTCTTTTTGTTTGTGTTGTCCTCCGTTGCGTTGTGTTTTTCTAATCTTTTGATCACATTCTCTCGAGTCTCGAAGGACTCAGCATTTTTCATTTGTTTTTAATCTAATTTTCATTTCATTTTATTTTTCACCTCTCTTTTTGGGGTACAAATCTGCCAGCTTTGAGTCGAAGGACTCCCTTCTCTCTCTCTCTCCGTAAACTAAGCCAAGATGGTGGTAGCTTTGATGATTGCATTCTATGAACACCTTTTGTTTCTATTATATTAAACATTTAAATAGGAAAATAGGTAAGATCTGACGGATTGGACTGCCTAAAATAACTAACGGAGTGGGCAGGTTAAGAATCACCGGTGATGATTGCTCCATAGAGTAAAACTAAATTTCTTTTCCTTCTTTTGCCTTCATTTTATCCCAAAGGCAGAACCATTGCGTGACGAACACCCTTGTTTCCCTTGTCGACGAAGAGCCCTTCGAAATTATTCATGAACCGACAAAAAGTTTAACTACAAGTAATTAATCAAGGCTTATTTTTGGGATTTACAAAACACGTCTCTGTGCATTAAATCAAGACCATCAAGGTTGTATGTCCGTCGTTAATTTGTCATATTTACCTTGTTTTGTAGACGTAATAGAATCTCCAACTCAGAAAAGAACAGTTTGGTGGATTACATTCTCGTGTTGGGAGCCGGGACCATTTGCTGATAAACCTGACCACCGAATGAATATACCTTTCGGGAAGCGGAAGGATTTTATTGAATCGGCTGACGTTACAAAATATTTAATGTTTAATTCAAGAAATTAGCGATTGGCGGCGCGTGAGAGAGACGCGGGGAGAAGGAGAAGGCGGGGAGAGTATTCCATTTAGCTTGGGGAGGGTGGCACTGACAAGAGCAGAGGGGCAGAGATACGGTTACGGACAGAGGTTTTTGATGCATTGGGTATGAGAGTAATAGGGGGCCTCGTGATCGGAGAAGGCTGGTCCATGGAAGACTGTTCCCTCTAGTCACGTGGGCTCTTTTGACTACCCACTGTCCAACCCCCCATTCGCTTTGTTACCAGCGTCTCTCCCTTTTTCTTTTTTAAATTTCTTATTATCATGTCTAATATATCATATTTACATTCGAATTCTGAATTTATTTTTATAAAAATATGCTCAAAAATAAACAATTAGTTTACGTTCGAGGTTTCATTTTCTTCATACTGACTGAGGCTGACCGGCTGACTTTTTATTTTCTTTTACTAGTAGTATTTATTTTTTGAACCAAATATAGCACTAGTATTTAACATATGTACATGAAGGTATGTTTTTATAGGGTTTTTAATATTATTTTTTTTATCTAGCTGTAACGTGTAACCTGTGTCCCCCACTGTCTATTATCTTTATTTTCTCGATTGCTATATATACGCATGTACATCTCTCCATTTGCAATTCACGACAACGTGGACTGCAGGTGCTGACTGCTATTTTCTCTATTTTATTAGCTTATAAAGCTACCAGACAACATCTCTTCTGAGTCTTCCTCCCCCCCCTGCCTTATAAGTTTTTCATTCAAACGCGCTATTATTGCACTTGTGTCTCAGTTAATTACTATTTGGCTCCTACTCCCCTGTCATTGCTCTTTAACTATAAACTCACCATCCCCATTTTCATTCTCGTTCCAATTTCATTCTTCTTTTTCTCTTCATCGTCTGCAAGTCCTTTGTTTCTCCAAATTCCCATTTGATCCCTTAACGATTTAGTGCTGAAATTGAGGTGGGAGGTTAGATAAATCATTGAGAAGAAAGAGCTTGGACAGAAAAATGATGCACAGGTGCTGTAGCTCTCAGGGAAACATCGTGGGACCGTGTTCATGTGGCTTGTTTCACAGCCAAAACAACTCCTCGATGCTTTTTTCCATGCCCAACCACATATCTTACGACGAAACGGATGTGTACAACTCTTTCACGTCCTATTCGTCTTCTTCGGTTGATTGCACACTCTCCTTGGGAACACCTTCCACTCGTCTCTGTGAAGATGATGATAGGCGTTCACGCCATGACCGCCGCTCTGGTAATTCTTGCGTGTCTAACTTCTGCTGGGACTTGTTGCAAAACAAGAACGCGCATGGTTATTCGCAGCAGACGACGAAAGCTAGCCGTGGAAGCAATGGGAAAAGCGGTAGCAGCTCCGGTAATGATTCTCTCCTTGCTCGTCGTTGTGCTAACTGCGACACAACTTCTACACCGCTTTGGAGGAATGGTCCAAGAGGTCCAAAGGTACTTCAGTTTGCAAATTTTAACGACTCTTTTGATTATAGTGGCTTTATTAATGTTTAGTTATTTATTTATTTTTGTTGTTTGACATTGCAGTCACTTTGCAATGCCTGTGGAATTCGATTCAAAAAGGAAGAAAGGAGAGCATCAGCAGCAAATGCAAACGCTTCAATCGCGGAGCAGCAATATCACGGCTACGACAACAGCAACAGCAATTCGTGGGATTCAATGCAATGCTTCTCGTCGCCCGTCAATGAAATCAATTTCATCGAAGATGGCGATCCTTATCTTTCTTGGAGTCTAAACGTCACCGATATGCCAACAAGCCTTGTTCATGACTTTACGAGATGAAAAACAAAACAAAAGGAAAAGGAAAGAAACCCACCACGCCATTGACGGTCAAGATCATGCAACAATGGCCGAAGCGTATTGCAATGATGACGTTGGTGGAGATTTTGTTTTACGACTTCGTTGATAGTGATATGGTCTTTCGTTTCGTCTAGTCAAAATTCCCTCTTCCTTTTTTTTAGTTTGTTTGCCTCGTTTGTCTTCCATAGATGGAGTAAGAACGGGACAATTCTATGTTCTTAGGTGCTTTTTTTGAAGTTTTATTTTAACTTTACTTTCTTCCACTTTCAGTTTTCTATAAAAACATTTCTGTTTGAAGCGACTTTCACTTTTCTACATAATGATCATCAGCAGTTCAGCACCGTTAGATTCGATTACTGGTCTCCCTGATGTAATGTAATAGATATACGACGTGTAGTCAAGCTTACATATGCAAAAAGTACTTTTCTTTTCCATGTTATATGAACTGAAGTTTACTTTACCTGAGACTCTGGACTTTGAAGCTGCTGCTTCTTCCTGTTGGTTCTTTCCCGTTTCTCTAAATTTCACAACTGAAAGAGAATGTTAAGCGAGCAAAAAGAAAACCCATCGTGAATACAATTATCACGATTGATTCTTGTCTGGGTGATGAATCTAATCACCCAATTGCTTTTGTGCTTAAGGATCTGTGTTTGTTCCGAGTCGGAAAGGACACTGTTCGGTTCAGACGCTTTGCCGGTTTGGCCTTTTCCAAAGCCAAAACTTGTACTGATATGGTCATTTTCTTGACATCTTGACCATTAATTTGGCCTCCACTGCACCACCGCTTCTCCGCCTTGGGACGCTCCAAAATGCAAACACTTGAGTTGATTTTATGTTTTTAACTTCGGATTTGTTCTGATTTAAGGTCTGATGATGAAGTAGAAATTTGATGCCAAATTATTAATGCGTTTTAATAATATTATGTTTCAGTGATTTTATTTTTAAGCTCAGTTGGTAGAGCACAAGATTCTTAACCTTGAGGTCGTGGGGTCGAGTCCCACGGAGGACATTTCATAATTATGAAGTCTCTTACGGAAACTGCTCTCAATCTGATGTTGAGGGTAGCCTACTATCTTACTTCCCCTTATTCCATACATATGAAAAAAAGGGACAGCCATTTCTGTCATTCCCAAATCCATGTAGATTGATTCTTTTTGTCCATCAGAGTTCAAAATGCTATTCAACTTCTCTTGGATTATGGATTTTGTGAAAATATTTTTTACCAAAGGACTAAAAACAGATGTTTATAGTATTTTATTGATTGTTTAAATCAAAATTTAAAATTTTGGGATTTTTCTCATTTTTCTCATTTCTTTTACTTTTTTTTTCTTTTTTACAATTTGTATCAATTTTATTGATCAATCAAACATTTTCTTTTTTAATTTTGTTTTAATCGGCGGTAACACTAATTTTAATGTTGATTACCGCCCGTCAGTTATCTTTTTTTCTTTGTTTTTTAGTTTTTTAATAAGAATAATTATGTCTTTGTGACATGTTTTTCTGCCTTTATGACACATTTATCTTTGGCTTTATGACATGTTTTTCTCTGTCTTTTGGTAGCTTACGGTTTTTTGCCGTTGTTTTCGTTTATCTTTTTTCTCAGGGTTGGATTTGATATCGCCACGACATATTAAGGGGGCGTTTATTTGTTATCGTGATGATCTTTCCTGCTTTGGGCCCTCAGATTGATTTGGATACGCGTTTTGCGTTCGTGGATAGTTTTCTCACGATGCATGACTCTGATTTGTAATTTATCGGTTATCTTTCATAGCTTCAACCTCTTTTGTAGTTCGTTTAGTGATACAATCATATTTGTTCATATCTTTATTTTATTCGAGTTTTTTGGTTAGATTTTTTTAACATTTTCCTTTTGTGGTCTTTATGTGATCTAGTGGCTAGTTTTTGTCTCAATAGTAAAAGGAAAATGTCATAATTATATTTTAGGTCTACGCTTATACTTGTAACTCTTCATTGTAATTTTAAATATTTTCTATTTTTAATAAAACTAACGACTTTCTATCAAAAAAATTTTGAGACTTCTTTTTGGCTTATATATATATATATATATTTGGTTGAAAACAGGAGAAAGGGGTCGCCTAGCTGCCCATAATATCATCTAATAACAATTCCTCGGCTTTCTTAGGGTAATTTTACATAAATATTGTTTCTTCTTGATGCTTCTACATCTGTTTGGCGATGAAAGCAGCAACACGATTAGCTTCTCTTGGTATGTGCTTTAGATCAACCACACAATTTCTCCTTAATAGTTTCTCAATGTGTTGAAGAATAGTTAGTTTCTCAAGTTTTTTTTTTTTTTGCTTATATTAATGTATAGAGATAAAAAGAATGATAAAGTGGAACACTATCTATGGCGTTAAAGACTTGAGGTGTCACCATATGATCTATTATGATATATTTAATAAATAAATAGATAAAAGTACATGTGGTAATCTTTCATCCCTAGAAGAAAATAATTAATAATCTTAAATACACACACATATATATATATATTTGTATAGAAATAAAATTCATTTATATTATATAAAATTCATTAAGTTTACATGATAATACAACAACTAAATGAATCTTAATAAAATAAATGATTAAAATTAAAAAAAAATCTATTTTATCATAAAAAATAAAAGAGAAAACGATAATTTTAAAATATAAAATTTAATTTTAATTATTTATACATATTTATCTAATGGTTATATTGATGGTGAATATGAATCCTATCTCATTTATATATTTATATTATATTGTAAAGATGATGGTGAGGGGAGTGTAATCATCAAAAGGAATGTTTGCTAAGGATACGGTGTAAGCATAGAAGCCACGTTTCAGGCCGAATACGGAATGCCAAGCGGTTTGTTCATCCTTGGAAACAGCGACGCAGCCCAACCCCACATTTTAAATTATGTGGACAGATATCATGACCTATATTCGGTAATGATCAGTTCCATGTTTATTTTATTTATTAAATTAATATGAAAGTTCGAACGATAGTAGGGATTGTTTTTTTTTTTAAATTTGAAAATTTAAGTGTTAAATATTTGATAAAAAATAATTACTATTATAATTTTATTTGATTATACAAGATTAGTCTTTGTTTAAATCGTTGATTAAATCAACGGAAGATATTCGTGATTCACATCTCAAAAATTAAATTTAAGCTTCAACATTTATGTATATGATTAATTTTATCTTAATTATTTTCTTTAAACTAAATTCGGTTCTAGATTCTTATCATAAATGATAATTAGATGGTTATTTTTTTGGATAAATGCAGAATTTTATTTATCCATAAAGCAGCTCAAGCTACCGATAAACAACAACTAAAACCAAACAAAACCACACCCCAACGACCCAGAATCCCACAATAACCGAAACTACTCCAGCTTTCACTCGTTACAAAGAGTCCTATTGATCAGACTTGGTCGATTAATGTTTTTTCCAGACAGCCTCCAACGAACAACATCTTGCACTTGGGCAACAATCCCCAGCACATAACCTTGTTTCCCTTGGAATATTCTACGGTTCCTCTCTCTCCGGACAAAATAGTTCATTGCATTCCAAGCTAATTTCAACAAGATTGAGAGAAGAGATTTACCTTTAAATCGATGAATTACCCAACTCAGTTCAAACTCTCAGTCTACCACATGCCTTTCAAGGCCACAAGCTCTCAAGATCAAAGTCCAAAACTCCCTTGAGAAAGGGAAATCAAGGAACACATGATTCCTAGTCTCCTGATCAGCTCCACACACGACACACTTCCTCAAGCTGAATACCAAAAGAAACAAGCCTATCTCTAGTAGTCAGTCTATTCAAAATGGTCATCCAAGATATCATTGAATGCCGAGGAATATGAAGACCAAACCACACCACCTTATGCCAAGGAATCTTCTCCCCCTATTCTTAACGTCACCCTAAATACTGTCGGAATCAGAATTCGGAAACTGGCCCTAAGCTTCACATCTTCCAAATCCATCTCCATCCCACTTTATGTGACAGTTTATGTATATTTCATTATTGAGCTAAAACAAATCCAAATACATTCTAATCATTTTCCAACAAAGTTCAACCATAACAACCATTCTAAAACAACATACCGATATCATCACACGTAAAATCAAAATATTGATATACCATGTGAAATCAAGGCTTAGAACTTAACTTAAAATTCAATTTCCGATTACCAATCCGACTGAAAAACACACTACTAGCCGTATTTATCGCAAAAATCTTAAATCATATAAACCCGAAAGGATTCCAATTCTATAACCCAATTTTCACTTGGAACCTACAACATGGAAACTAAATAATGAACTATGAACCTCGGTAGTGGTCTTAATGATGGATGAGTACGCATTCTAACAATACGGCATATAATGAATGCATGACCAATTGAAATTAATGTTATGCACACTTCAATGTCACTAACTCACATCTACAGCTTAGATCATTTAGGAAATTTACATGCTCTTCTATACCATAGTATCTATGTATTAATCAATTGTTCAATCTCGGTGGGGACTATAATATATCGATTGTTGATGGTAAAATTACTATCCATTTTCAAACCACAACCTTAAGGTGCTAAGTTTTTTTTCTTACAGTTTTTACCCCTGGTTTCAGTTTTTCGCGTTTGCCTGTTGCGAGGACAAATTTGTAAATGGACTATCTAATTAATTAATTCACTATTAATTACTTTGCTGTGCAAGAATCCAAGACTGAAATCTTAATACGCCCCCAGTCCAACATAATCGTTTGTCGCCAAAGCCCAAACCCACATTCTCCCCCCCAGGGAAAAAAAACCTAAACAATTCTCAGCCATGGACCATGCTGCGCCCCAAACCACCGTGATCACCACCCGAAGCACCGTCAGAAAACTTCGTGAAAGCCCCTCAGTGTCCTCCAAAATCCCATTCCAATCGCGCAAAATCCGGAAACTCGCCTCCCCCACCACCGTCCACGATCCCGTCAAATCACCTCATCAACCTTCCCTCGTCAAAATCCCTAAATCTCTAACGACGAAACCCGAAATCGACGTGGCTCTTAACCACCTCCGCACGTCGGATCCTCTCCTCGCCACTCTCATTTCAACCCACCCCCCACCGAAACTCTCTCCTTGCAACTCCGCGTCCTCTCCCTTTCCAAATCCATCATCTTCCAACAACTCGCCACCAAAGCGGCCAGCTCGATCTACACCGCTTCGTTTCGCTTTGCGGTAATGAATCCAACGTCGTTCCAAACACGGTCCTCTCTTTAAC